ATCTACTCACATATAACAAGCTTTCAAACTGCTAGTGGGCAGAAACTGGGGCAAATGACAGGAGCTCGCCCTGCCATGCAGTGCTAGGACTTGAACCTCTGGAGCAAACTCTATCTCCAGTGTCATTAAGTCACTAAGCCACCACGCCTCCTAGTAAGGAACAATTAACTACCAGAGAAAATGATCCTTTAGAGCAGGGGTGTCAAACTGCCAGCCCACGGGCCGTATGTGTCATGCCGAAACCGTGCGCACCCCAGCTCCAGCAATGGGGGAAAAGTCGCAATACATCGCGACACATCACGTGACGTTGCGAGTTTGACACCCCTGTGCTAAAGGAATTAGCAGTGAGTTTGGGTCAATCCATTATATGGAAAGCATTGGTAATATTTTGTAAAATGGAGTACTTAAGCATACCAAGAAACTTCTGTGGTTTTTTTTAAAATTAACATAAACTTTCTTTATACATTACCTGGATCATTTAGTTCAATATAGCTCCTTCTAGTCTACAGATAAGCTTCCTTCAGTGCAGATTTTTTATTGTTTCTGCTGCAATACATCTATTATTGCTATATCTTGGAAGCTAAAAACAGTTAACACATGCCATATCTTACCTATATCAAAAATATTACAAAAAGAAAGAAAGAAAATTAGTTTTTAGTATTATGCTGTCCCCTTCCTCCTAATTTTCCCTCTAGATGCTGCAGTGCCTCTTGAAAAATACATGAAAAAAATGAATAATTCTAGCGATCGGCAATTAGAATTCTCATTCTGCATGAAATTTCAGCTTCTGGCTATCCTATAAGTTATGACTCACCATTCTGTGTCACCCCCCACTGGCTTCTCTAAAACTTTTTAAAATAACACTATACCATAAAATTACACTTGTATGGAAAATTCAATCAATTCTCACTATTGGGGGAAATAGAAGATAACTGAAAAATCAGATTGCTTTAATGTTTGGAGCAATCATTTCCCGTGATGTCACTCAGATGTGTCAGACTAAATTTGACTAGGGGAACGTTATGCCTCAGCTAAGATGAGTAGCCTTGAAGTATAAAGGAAGAAGAGGTCAACCAAAGTGAACACAGTAAAGAGTAATTATTATGATTTAGCGTATGGCGATGTAACATTAGCCAGGAGAATACAATGCTAATGCAGAGCAGTTGTTTGGCTGCCTGAGACTGCTAGCCCTGTTTGGTTCATTCTTGCATGCTTTCCAAGGTGCACTATAGGTGGAAAGCTAGCTCCGCACCAGAAATAAAGACGAATGGCTTTCCTGCAGTGTCCTCTGGGACTATAGGAGCATGTTGGCTCACATAGTTAGGATGCTGGGTTGGAGGTTTAGCAAGTCCATGTTTGAGACCCAAGTACTGCTGTGGGGCAGATTGAGCTCCCATCCTTTGCTTCAGCTCCTGCCTGGGACATGACATGAGCCACCTATTGGAAGTCCCTCAGGAAATAGTGATATCACCAACTAAACATTGCAATCTGAAAGTGCTTTGGTGCCTCTGACACAAATACAATGCAATCCTGAGCATCCTCTTCCTCCACTGAAACTGCCTCACAAACGAACTTTGCAACCGGGAAGGTCCAGCGCCAGCAGGATTCTAACCATATGCATGAAGCGCCAGCTTGTCTCCCCACTGAAGTGGTACCTATTTATCTACTCGCATATAATAAACTTTCAAACTGCTAGTGGGCAGAAACTGAGGCAAATGACAGGAGCTCGCCCTGCCATGCAGTGCTGGGACTTGAACCTCTGGAGCAAAATCTGTCCCCAGTGTCATTAAGTCACTGAACCACCACTCCTCCTAGTAAGGAACAATTAAGTACCAGAGAAAATGATCCTTTAGAGCAAGGGTGTCAAACTGCTGGCCCATGGGCTGGATGTATCAGAGCAAAACCGCTCCCACCCCATTGCCAGCAACATCAAAAAAGTCATGATATGTTGCGACACGTCACGTGACATTGCAAGTTTAACACCCCTGCTTTAGAGATAGACTATAATGAATCTTTAGAGACAGACTGATGGCAACATGTCACACACAGAAGAAAAAAAATCAAGAACATTGACCGTGCAGTCCAACCGAGTCCAGTCCAGCCCTGCTGGAGCTAAACAATCAGTTTCACAGCCTCCCTTTGGAAGAAAGCATGGAGACACCTGGAGAAGGGACATCCCAAAGGGGCTTTTCAAAGTTGCATTTTTGAAATGCACCTTTGGGACAATCATGACCTGGATGATTGAGAATCTCCATAGATTGGAGAAGGGACATCGTCAAGTGTATCAATGACAGGAAAGTAAACCAGACTAAAAGTAGACCAGAGTTTCTCAAAAGAAAAGGGGGGGCATGTTTTGATGATAGGAGACTTGCTACTCACTTACTTAGGGGAATTGAATCAGCAATTTGTAGACTAAACCATCTATCTAGGGCAGGGGTAGGCAACCTTGGCTCTTTTATGACTCGTGGACTTCAACTCCCAGAATTCCTGAGCCAGCTGAGGAATTCTGGGAGTTGAAGTCCACAAGTCATAAAAGAGCCAAGGTTGCCTACCCCTGATCTAGGGAGTTTTGAGGAACCTCTAACCATTGAGTTTTGGGGGACTGAGACAAGTTAATAAATCCAGCAGCTTCAGAGTGATACGTAGCAGAACACAATGTCAACATTAACAATCAGCTTAGCTCCAAAATGTCACCAAGGGAAATTCAAAAGCATCTATCAAGTGCCTGGAGAATAATGTGGAGGGGGGATGGAAGAGCCCTTTTTCATAGGGAAAGAAAATATCTGAGAAATTGCATTGCAAGGCACATTTCAGGACAACACAAATGTCAACAGTTTATTCTAGGAAGTGAGAAACGAGTCATCTGGCGCCATATGTGAAGAGTTTAAAATTTAAATATATTAGTACCGCAGTTGCTTGATTAATCAGCTGGAGAGCTAGAGGAATTGCCCTTTCTGGGTGTGAAAAGGGGGAGAGGGTGGAAGCTAAATATTAATGTGGGATATGATAATTAGGACAAGCTTAATTTGCAGAGGATGTGTCAGTTACAACTAAAAAGAAGGATGGCTGACATATAATTATACATCACAAAAGAAAATGCAATCAGTGTGGGAAGGAATGTGAGACCCTACGACTGACTGAGATCCTCTTCGGGTGGCTTCAGGTTTGGCAAATGATTAAACGGATTAACTTTGGGGGGAAATCAGATACCAATCAATTTCTCATCAAAGCAGACTGAGAGGGCAAAATTATGGCACCTGCAAAATTCAGAAGAGGCATCAAGTGCCAGCTTTATCAGTAATAACTCAGGAGCTGTGGAGCAGATAAGCAGCTCAGAAGAAAGGTATTGGACTAGATACAGTGTTTCTCAACCTTAACAACTTGAAGCTGGGTGGACTTCAGTTCCCAGAATTCTCCAGCCATCTTTGCTGGCTGGAGAATTCTGGGAGTTGAAGTCCAGACATCTTCAAGTTGCCAAGGTTGAGAAACACTGGACTAGGAGATCTATTTTAGCTTAAGAGAAGAGGTTAAATCAGGGGCCTTCAAACTTGGCCCTTTTATGACTTGTGGACTTCAACTCCCAGAATTCCTCAGCCAGCGTGCCTGGCTGAGGAATTCTGGGAGTTGAAGTCCACAAGTCATAAAAGGGCCAAGTTTGAAGGCCCCTGGGTTAAACGATTTCAGTAAGACATTCGTCAAGAGGATAATGGAATTGTGGCTGGAAAAATGCCTGGTCATCTACTGTTATTGTGGGAATTTCATCTACTGAAATGGAATTCAGGCAGTCCTCGACTTATGACTGCAATTGAGCCCAAAATGTCTGTTGCTAAGCGAGACAGTGAGTTTCACTCCATTTTATGCACTTTCTTGCTACAGTTGTTAAGTGAATCACTGTTAAGTCTTAAGTTAGTAACATGATTGTTAAGAGAAAGTGGCTTCCTCATTTACTTTGCTGGTCAGGTCATAAGATCACATGACCCTGGGACACTGCAACTGTCATAAATACATGCCAGTTGCCAAATGTCTGAATTTTGATCACGTGACCATGAGATTGTTGCAACAATCATAAGTATGGAAAACAGCCAGAAGTCACTTTTTCAGTACTGTTGTAACTTTGAACAGTCACTAAACAAACTGTTGTAAGTTGAAGATTGTCTGTAGAGACAAAAAGCCTTTCTTCCTTCCCTCCTTCCCTCCCTCCTTCCTTCCTTCCTTCCTTCCTTCCTTCCTTCCTTCCCTCTTGACTCTTGTTGACTGTATAGGCAAGTCCCTGCAGGTTTTTTGGCAAAGTTTTGGGGAAATAGCTTGCCATTGCATCCTTCCTAGGGCTGAGAGAGAGTGACTGGCCCAAAGTCACTTAAGTGGCCTCCTGCCTAAAGCAAGACTAAAACTCACACTTTTCTGGATTCTAACCTGATGCCTTAGCCACTATGCTAAACTAAAATATTTCCTGTAAGAAACCCAAGAAAGATAAGTTGTGACTCTTCTAAGCAGATTTCTTTATTGTTCCTCATCTAAAGACAGAATCTTGCCAAATTAAAGCAAACTACCAGCCACATAAAGAGTGTACTCAGGGAACTATTAGGGAGGATCCATCTTCACCCTCTTTCTCTCACACAAACTATCTAAACTGAGTCATCTTTTGCTCCTCTGGAATGCACTCCCTTCTGGGAATCCAGACTACAATCCATCACAGATATTATCTCAGCTTCCCCGTTCCTTCTGTTTCAGTATTTCCTGGTAACCTCCCAACTAAGTATTAACCACGCCCAACTCTGTTTACTTCTGAGCCTGGTAACTTCATCAGACCCTACCAACTGCTCAGACAAATTGCAGCGAACTTCTATTCGATTCCTAGATTTGTTTGATTCCAAAGAGTGCAGTCGAAGGAGCAATGATTGGGTTTCCCATCAACGACATATCAAGGAACAGGTGTCCTACTTGCCTTAACCAGGGCTGCTGCTTAAAAAAATTGTCTTCTTTATTCCTCTCCTTCTCAGGTTGCGATTTAATCCCAGTTGAATATCTACGATGGGGTGATCCAGAACCTATCGCTGCGGTGGTTTTTGCCTGCTTGGGTCTCCTGGCTACTTTATTTGTCACCGCCATCTTCATCATGTACCGTGACACGCCGGTTGTCAAATCCTCCAGCCGAGAACTCTGCTACATCATCTTGGCTGGCATCTTTTTGGGTTACCTGTGCACCTTCTGCCTGATCGCCAAGCCTCAGCAGATCTACTGTTACCTTCAAAGGATTGGCATTGGTCTCTCCCCAGCTATGAGCTACTCAGCTCTCGTGACGAAAACCAACCGCATCGCCAGGATTCTGGCCGGCAGCAAGAAGAAAATCTGTACCAAGAAGCCACGATTCATGAGCGCTTGTGCCCAGCTGGTCATAGCTTTTATCCTGATCTGTGTTCAACTTGGCATCATCGTTGCCCTGTTCATTATGGAGCCCCCAAATACCAAGCACGATTACCCAAGCATCCGAGAAGTGTACTTGATATGCAACACCACCAACTTGGGGGTCGTGACCCCTCTTGGATACAATGGTTTGCTCATTTTAAGCTGCACGTTTTATGCGTTCAAGACCAGAAACGTCCCTGCAAATTTCAACGAGGCTAAATATATCGCCTTCACCATGTACACCACCTGCATCATTTGGCTGGCCTTTGTGCCAATTTATTTCGGGAGCAACTATAAGATTATCACCATGTGCTTTTCGGTAAGCCTGAGTGCCACCGTGGCCCTCGGTTGCATGTTCGTGCCAAAGGTGTACATCATCCTTGCCAAGCCAGAGAGGAACGTGCGCAGCGCCTTCACCACGTCGACGGTGGTTCGCATGCATGTTGGCGATGGAAAACCGTCTTCCGCAACCAGCCGCTCGAGCAGTTTGATCAACCTGTGGAAAAGAAGGGGTTCTTCCGGAGAAACTCTAAGGTAATCCTTGTTTTAGTGCAGTGGTCTTCAAATTTGACAACTTTTAAGACTGGTGGACTTCAACTCCCAGAATTCCTCAGCCAGCCCTGGCTGGCTGAGGAATTCTGGGAGTTGAAGTCCACCAGTCTTAAAGTTGCCAAGTTTGAAGGCCCCTGCTTTAGTGGATTTTTGGCGGGCTAGATGGGAAGAGGGAAAATGCTGGTTTTAAACATTATTACTTCCACGATGCCAGCTATGTCGCAGGTATTATTTAGAACAAGCTAGCATTCTTCAAGATTCAGAAACTTTCTCTGCATTGGATTCTGCTTTGTATCATTTCTGCACTACAGAAAATATTTAAGCATTTGTCTTCTGAATTTGTGATGAAATTATTTCACCTAGCTAGATTCAGATGGTCTCCTTCAGGTAATACTCTTCAGATTTATTGGCATAGCAGCGTTCTCTATAGTTTTGATATTTTTACGACTGTAAGTTGCCTAAAGTTACCCTTGGTAAGGTGAGTGGCCAATAAATTTTGCAAATAAATCCCAACATTCGGAGAATACTAACTGGAGGAAAGTGTCCTAAATCAGCGGTCCCCAAGCTTTCAGGCACCAGGGACCGGTTCCATGGAGAGAGGTTTTCCCATGGACTGGAGAAGGTGTGGTTTTGCATGCTGCCTGTATCCTGCGGATGGGGCTTTGCTTGTTGCGTGAACCAGTTTCTGGCATGCCATAGACCGGTTCCCTAAATGTAATCTTCTGGTTTTCCTTTTCTTCCCTTTTCTTCCTCTCTCCTTTTCTATTTTTTTGTTTTTTTGGAAGCTTTCTTCTTTCTCCATAAAAGGGGTGCAACTTATCCTACGATAGATTATAGCCCTGTCATGGATCTTGACCTAGCTCAGGGGTCGGCAACCTTAAACACTCAAAGAGCCACTTGGACCCCTTTCCCAGAGAAAACCCTGGGAGCCGCAAAACTTCACAAAGAAATAGAGGCTGCTGTGCATGAGCGCTCTCTCTCTCCCTCCCTCTCTCTCTCCCTCTCCCTCTCTCTCTC